TATCAGTCAATTAAAATTCGATTTCTGTTGTTACAAGAAGCAATTCAAATCTGGTAGGTTGCTTTTTTATTATTTCATTTTATTGGCTTTTATCATGATAGACTACTTGCTGAATGCTTACTTGTCTAAAATCTGGTTTTACTTGATGAGAACATGTTCCATCTTTACTGAGACAAAATAATGGCCCTTGCAATACAATGGCACTATGTGAACTTTTACAGTATGCATGTGTCCAGAATTGACCATTATAAGAATGCAAAGGTTCTAATGCCTCATCTCAGCAACCCTTCCGTCATGACTATTTTCCTACCTCCTTTTCTTCCCACAATAAAAAAAAGAGTTTCCCTGTTCTAGTCTCAAGACAGAAACATGTTATACAGAATGCCAGACACAATCACCCTTGCAATCTCAAGAATTAAGACAGATCTCTTACACAGGTTAATAATTTTCCCAACTGTAGTTTAGATATGATGTTGCCCAGTTGTTAATGGGCAGATCTGTTAACAGAATTAAGATTGTTTTATACTAGTTCTATGCCTTACACTGCCCGTCAACATTTTTGACTAAATCATGACAGAAGTTTAAAGGTTTGAGAAACCTCTACCTCTTGCAGCTTCTGAATAGATTCACTGCTTTTATAATCACAGGAAAGCTATTTCATTAAAAATATTCATAACATAAATAAAGCACAACTCATTTCTCTCCAGTATGTTAACACAAATAATTGGCTACTCCCTTAAAATTTTGAGAAGCATTTCCAACAATAGTATGGTTTTGATTACCATAATATTACACCAAAATATTCCTGTGGTAAAAGTCAGACCAATCTCATACCTTATATTAGGTACTGATATAATAATCTATATCAACTTTTTTTATTCAAAAGCAAGACAAATATATAATAACATATCACACAGTAAACTGACTTTTGTATGCATTGAAACTGCTACCAAACAATGTTGCCACTTGCAGAAAAGTTGCGCATTACAAAGACAATTTTGGCCAACTGTACTTCAAATGTGCTTCCAGATACACTGAAGGCAAAATGTATTTACTGTGACCTACTGAGCTTGAAAGGGAGTAATTCTTTAAAACCGTTTCAAGAAATGGTTCCATATACTTTAATTAGACTGACATGAAAACCTTTGTATCAGAAACCATGAAGAATTAACTTCAGTGACATTTTATCCTGCTTAGCAGTAGAGGGTTAACATGAGTTAAGAATCCCAATATTCTTAGTTCAAATTTTTCAGAGTACCTTAACTTTGCATTGACAAATGCAAAAATGGTACCAGCAGTCAAATATATGTTTCATTTAACTTCAGAAACATTATCACATATCTGTATCAGCAAGAAAAGTGAATAAAGACCAGTGGTTATAAAACTGTTAAAGGTAAGTGATGGGGGGAGGGGGGAAGGATGAATCAACTCTACAGTTGAACAAATATTTATATTTAATGTGATATTATAAGGTATTCTATCTAAAAGATAAATTGCTTCCTAAGGACATAATTTGTGTTATGCTTAAGCAATTTTAACAACCTTTTAAATATAAGACATTAAAAAATATCCAATATAGTGGCAAATAATACCATTGGCTATTCCACAAAGCAGCAACTAATAACTGATAATAAAAACATCATATTTTCCTCTTCACACAAAACTTTTCCAACTTCTAATAATTTCTTCTCAGAGAAGGAAAGGAAATAATGAGTTTTGGAAACCATGTTAATCCAGTATTTTAGATCAAACTTGTCCTTTGCCCTCTTCTCATTTACAGCAAACTTTCAACCATTTTAAAGATACAGTCTTAAGTATACTGCATAATAAAAATTGTGGAATTTGTATGCAAAATAAAACAAAAGGCTGCTAATCCATGGAAAGATATACATAAATGCCTTCTTAGCTATTGCTGCTATTTGATTAAAAGCTGATGAAAATCTAATGAGAATTCTTTGCTATTAGGTCAATTAAACAGCAGCAGAACTACCTCTGCAGAAGGCTCAAAACCATGTAATTGCTTTCTCCATCTCTACTTGTCTCACCACCAGCTCAATTCAGATCAAGTTCTGAATAAAAATCAGAACTTTCACAAGATTTTATACACAGACACCAACAGCATGTTTAGTTATCACACTCAGTCCCAGTAAAACAGGTACCAATTTTAGTGTCACACAGTCAGTAAAGGCCTAATCCTAACAAAATTATTTGGCAAAAGATGAAGATCTCCAGAAATGAAACAGAAATAAAGTATGTGCCAAGACAGAAGACTTGCACCAGTTTCATCAACCTAAACCAGAACTGACATAGTAAACAGTGTGATTCAGCTTTCTACATTAAAATTGATGCTGCTTTCACGTGGATCCAAAACCTGAAATTAGCTGATGGCAATGGGGAATAAAGGAACTAACTGCAACAATCTCAATAAGAGAGCACATCAACCTCACAGAACAGAGCATACTGAAATACAAAAATATGGTTTGAAAGCTTCAAGGAATAAAATCATAGAGTAGTTTAGGTAATCAAGCAAAGAATCATAACCCCAGTTCACAAGCCAAAAATTTTAAGAACTGGTAATGTTACCTGCACAAGATACTGGCAATAGTAAGTAGTGTTGTCTAAGCAGAGCAAACAGCTGTCCTTTTATCTTTTGGAAAAAAAAAAAAAACAAAAAACAAAAACCAACAAAAAACCAACAGGAATTTAAGAAGAAATTGTCATCTAGAATTACAGCAAGAACAAAACATATCATGTGAGATATGTGAGGTAAGGAACGGTTTATGAAGACAGATTATTACCACTTTCAAAGGCTGCTGGAATGTCAGGCCGGTACAGAACTTAACCACTAGCTCCTACGAAGTAAGAAAAACTCAGACCAGTAATTTTGAACCTAAAAATAAAACTGTTAAGTTTGGTGAGCAATTCTATGCCTCCTCCTAAAATCAGAAATTTACATGGTAAGACTGTTAATAAAGTTTTAAAGTATTACATACAGGTAATCCTTGTACAAAACTGGCATGCAGATTTGGAATCAGTACTAAATGCTAGACGTTGGAAAGAAAGAAAGGAGTTAAATTTCATCCAGATGTAAAGACAGCAGTTGCTGACTTAATTCACAGTGTGTTACAGTGAATTATCATGGTTGAGTAAATCTCAAAGAAGTGTTAGATAAGCACTTTTATGACTTCAAAGTCACAGAAAGATAAGCGTTAGAAAAATGAAATAGGAAATGTTCAATACTGCTATTTGAAAAAAAACCTCACAATGTAAAATAGGTGAAGGTTTATAGAATACTTAATTGGTTTCTAACACTTCTAAAGTTAGAGCTTTAAATGAAAACTATACTGGTCAGTGAAAGCTCAATTAAAGCAGGATCTTGGTGACCCTGCATCTTTCCTTTTTTTAATTTTTAGGATCTGACTGGTTTTACTTACTGACACAACTTACCTGAAGTCCTATACTGCAGTAAAACCAAAAAAGAATGTATGTATGTTTACCAATACAATAGGTTAGTATCTGGAATTTAAAAACATCTTCACCATTATTTCCATTATTTAGTTGTGTGTGCTAACACTCCCAAAGTAGTAGCTTTACAGACACTCAGGATATGAGTCCACACTTGAAAACTTAGACAATCCAGCACAAATTCAGGAATATGTTAAGATTACTTAATGTAGGATATACTTCAGAAACAGGTCTTTAAGACAGGCAATGTGCATACAACTGGACATGGTAAAAACTAATTTGTCACTGCTTATTCTATGCAGTATTTCTCCTTTCTATCACTCCATAAGAAAGCATCATAAACTTAATACTGCAAAGTAGTAATGAAAAATTCTAAATTTTCATAAAGTGTTTTATTAAGATTATTTATTACATCATCAATTCTATTTCTGAATAACAAAGTTCACAGATGAAATCCTGACATTTTTATGAAATCAATATGCTGATAAAACCATAAAATGTAAATGCATAAATGTAGACTGATAAAATGCAGATCGGTAATCAAATTCAAACCATCATTTTTTGCTACTCCAATTAACATATGACACTAAGGGAGTTAAAACAGATTTTTTCTTTAAGGCATAAAGTTTCCTTTAACTAGTGATGGCCAAAGCTGAAAATAGCTCAACAGGCCATTAGTTACTGAAAAGCTTCCTGATTGATAAGTTCATTGCAAGTTCTGTAGATTCCATCCCAAGAAACTGCTTGAAAAGTGGTAAATAACTAAGAGTGGTAGAAACTTGACAAGGTCCTCTTTACTTTCCTAGCAGGCAAAGGGAGTTTATTTTTCTGAAGTCTGATGAACATTTGCTAATTTGTGAGCAGGAAGAAGCAAACAAGGTAATTCTTCAAAGATAGCAGTAGCAGGATCTAACTAATTTTGGCAATAGTAATTTGGGCAATAGTCAACTTAGTAAAGTTAATAAAGAATTTAAATTAAAGGAGCAAAGAGATACAGGATAGAGCATTCCATAAAGTTCAGTGGAAGTGTTACAGACATGATGGGAGATGGTACAAAGCACATGAAAATATTTGTCATCTCCTTTTCTAAATAAAATGCTCTGGACAGGAAGATAAGAGCTTACAAACCTCAAGGGTTTGTGTAAATGTAGCCTGAAAGGAAGAAACAAAAGAGATCTGTTTTTTACCATGTGAGGGAGCACATCCCTACAAAAAGACACAATATCTGGGTTTATCTTTGGGTAGCGGAAAATTGTGTGGTATGGAACATTTTATAACACATTCACTACAGCTAGGAGCCTCATAGAGAGAATTTTGGAAAACACAGTCACCCATGTCATTGTTCAAATTAGAGACGGCAGCACCTCTCAAACACCTAAAATTCCAAAGACTGCTTGCAACTAGAGACTTAAGACTCTGACGGACTGTCATACAGAACTATGGAACTGCAACTATTTGCAATTGTAGACTCACTGCAGCAAGTGACTGTCTATATAATGTTTCCCCTAAAAATAAAATTGAAATCATCAACTCACCACTTGTCCATTCTGAGGATTTTTATGCGCATATGGTGGTCCACGGATGTGATTCCACATCTGACCAGATGTCATAGCAAATACAACACACTAGGAAAAATAGAAAAACAATATGCTTATTAACTTACCATGATGAATTGAACAGAAAACCATTCTGCTGGTGATTCTCGCTTTAGATACGTAATTGTTCCCCTAACCAGACACAGTATCTACCACTATTTGAATTTGAGCATTGTGTGTTCAGATGTGTTGCTCTCATAAAATTCTCAATCACTTTTGTTATTCTGAAAATGAGTTAGCTCAAGAGAGATTTTCAAATCTCTCTTGAAATAATCCTATATTTATGTGCCACATTTGCACATCTATATGGCAACAAGCACTTGGAGCAGTAGAAGGTATTCATTGTAAATGTTCTGGAAACTAGTATTTAAGATATATACAACCTTTCATGAAAATATTTCTGTCTCTAAATTCTATATAAATGTTTAGCTTATCTTTTTGCTTTCAGGTGTACGAAATCAGAAAAAATCCAGTTATTAAAAAAACCCCTGTCCTATTTTATAAAATTCTCATTGTGTGTCCTATATGAATGTGATTTATTTTAGCTATGACAAATAGCAGTGATTGAGTTGTTAGAAAAGTGAAATTCCCTACGGAGGAGCGTGAAGTTAGGTTAGAGATACATGACAACTGTAAAAACAGACTTTAATTCTCATAGAAGGTAATTATGATTCTCCTAAAGAGGAAAATATTGTGTCTTTTGATTAACAAATGAGAAAAACAGAAACAGGGAACTTGTATAATCTCAACATGTCTTGTGTCTTATCAGTATAGATAATCCTTAGAAAAATTACAAGATAATTTAGATACAGTTACATATATGCTCATTTTTACTGTATATCAATATTCCCAACAGCACACTTAAGTCATACTTATGACTTAAGTCATAAGTAGATGGATCACAAATGTAAAAATTCATACCATAATGTCTAACTAAGCCAGGGTTTACTAAAAGCCTTTAAGGATTTTCCTTAAAGAATCCTTAGTAACTCATTTGTGAAGTAAATATAAGCCACTGGAGCTCTGTATCCCTATAAATGCAGCATTGTCACCTCTAGTAATATGAACAAATTTTGCAAGGCCTTACTACTGAATCTTGTCAGGCTTTATTCAAATCTGTCTTGGCTTTCCTGGTTTTGGGTTTTGTTTTGGTGGGGTTTTTGTTTGGTATTTTTTTGTTGTTGTTGTTTGGTAGTTGTTAGGGTTTTTTAACTTCTTTAGCTGAAACAGCAATTTTTCCAAAGACCACATGACTATGTCTAGTTTACATTACAATTGCTTATCTTCGTGTGGCTCATTAATTCCCCCCCCCCCCCCGCCATTCTGTTTGGGATGAAATAATATGACCAACACACTGATGCAGTGCATCACACTGATGTAGAGACAGCAGAACTGTAAACACAGGATGCAGTGTACCAGTATGGAATGATAAGAAAGGATGCACAGGATTACACTGGAGACCCCAAGCCTATAAATATTACACCAACAGTGAACAAAGAAACACAGATATGGGAGTTCATCAGAAACAGTTTTAGGACTAACAAAAGGAACAAAGGACAAGCATCCAACATATGGAAGACCACCACCATTTACCCAGTAAATTATGTAAAATTTAATTGCAGATCAGTGAAGGAAGCAAAAAGCACGAAATAGCCCCTAGGACTATAGGCAAGGAGGAAGAAAGCAGCAATATCATACTGCTCCCTGGAGGAGAACCTGGAATGCTGACAACTCACCATAGTACCCCATCACCCCAAACCAAAGCATGATCTCGAGATATAGAGATAAACAGTGGAAGAGTAACCATGACATCAGAGAAAGGCAAAGACACTAAGAAGTGTGTGCAAAACAATTTTAATTATGCTGTTATGATTAAGACTTTTCTCTCTTGTAATAGAAAAGATACATTCTCATATATGGTTTAATTATAATTCTTCCTTGTAGTGTTAAGATTTTACTTACAATAAGAACAGGTTCTTGTCTTTAAATATAAGGTGTGTTTCATTTTGCCCTTAACAGGATTTGGAATGTAACAGTATATTAATTAATATGGCAGATGAAGGCATACAGGTAGTGATTATTAGCAAATGGATTATGTTTTAATTAATATTATGTAACAAAATGAAAAGAGTATACAGTGACATTACTGGAAAAGAGTAACAGATAGTTATTTCTATACCTTGCAGACTGTTTTAGCAGAGAAATTTATACTGCAATTTTGGTGATGAATAACACAATAGATAGCTTATGTGAAAGCACAAAAGTATAGAAACTGAAAACGTGGATAACAAAAGTGAGGTGAAAGATATTTTGAAAGGCAAAAAATTAGGTGAAAAGTAAAACACTGAAAGATAACAGATGCATAGAGTACAAAAATTAGGTCTCTGAAGGTGAGTCTCCTATGAAAAATCATTTCTCTCATTCTTAAACTATTGTTTGAAATTTACATTCTCTAGGGTCAAATCTAGTTCCATAAAGAAAGATTAAAAAGACTCCAGCTCAATTTACATAGTCATATATTTTATAAACGATAAATCTCTCAAATTAATCAAGATCTTTAATGCTTGCCAATACAAATACCATGCCGTTGAGACTGTAACATCTAACTAAAAAATATCTAGGAGACACAATAGTGGGGAGAAGAAAATGTCGAGTATTAAGATTATTGAAAAGCAAAGACTTAACAATATGGTTATTTAACTTGAAGGCATCATTCATATTCTTTCAGTTCAGACTGCTAGTGACCAAGGAAACTAATTCAGTACACCACATACTGGATCTGCGATGATTTCTTTCCATCATGTTCCTTTTTACGGTGTATTTCAAAATGACTTTTTCAGGAGCCAGAAAACATTCTCCTGCTTCTCCCTAGTCCTCTTCCAATCTTCATCTATTTTAAGTATCCTAAGAACAGAGCACTTCCATCATATCCCTTAAGTAAGCATTTGGTATGCTACAGATAGCACTTGACATTCAAGTTCATTTTGCTGTGTTCTATATTCTCCAATTACAATCATCTGGGTATAAAAAAAACCCCAACAGTGGAAACTATAGATTTCTATTGTATACATACATACCACTATTTGCAGAACAGATGCACACATCTAAGATACATCATGCTGATGGCATTCCAAATGGCATAGTTTCCATAGGATCCCATGGCTTGGGATCCTAAAGTTTCCAAAACACTTAGTTTACTCACCATTACTGTGAGTTCATTTTTCCCAGGACAAAACTCTACCAAATTAATTCCTACAAATGATCAATCTGTACCATGTGGTTAATGACTTCATATTTACTCTCATATGCAGAGAAATGGCCACTTTCTGCAGTTTTCTTGGATCTTGTCAAAGTTCAAAGGACGAAAACTGGAGTACAGGAGAAGATTCAAGCCAAGGCACTATGACACTTTTTCACAGAAGAGTCTCTACTTAGTTCTACAGAGAGAAGTGCTACAGACCTTTCATTGTGGCACTAAACCTGCATTATATGGGGAAACTGTTGTTTAAACATGTCTTAAAATGGCTTTTTGTGGTCTCTTTGCAAACACATGCTTCTTCTTCCCAACACCCCCCACGGTAGTGTTATCTCAGGAATGTCCTGGGAAGGTGTCCTGAGGTGTTTTTCATTGGTCCTTTTTAACCCCTTCCTGTGATTGGGTTCCTGTAAGCCCCTTGAGACTTCTAATTGGTTACTCTGTGAATCCTCCTAAACCCTATAAATGTAACATCCCCAACAATAAACTCCTCTTGCCTCCTCTCCACGCCTGGTGTCCTGTCTCCGTGCCGGCCATGGGGCCACGTGCGGGGGGGGAGGGAGGGCACCTCTCCCCTCCAGGCTCAGGGCCTGAAAAAACCCTGAGATACCCCTGGAGTTCCCTTTCCCCATCCTTCAAGGCGTCGGAATGGTTCATCAGATGGAGATGGAACTAGAACTGGGCCGCCCCACGTCGTGGGTGGGGAAAGGGATCCAGATTTCATCCTTCTGCTCCCTTCTTTCTCTTTGTCAGACTCCAAGAACAGCACTAACTGCTGCATGTCACCTGATTTATCAAGGGAGTTGAGGGTTTTTTCAGAGTTCAAACTATTTTAAGAGTTTCCAGATCTAGGCAGCTTACTCTGCATCTAAATGATAAAAGCAAACAGTTTAGATCTACATTTTTGACTGGTGTAGCACAGAGAGGGAAAGAACAGTGATTTACTACAACATAATATGGTTCCAAGACCAAATGTCCACAGGAAGTCTTCAGTGGCAAGAAGTTCCCCCTATTATCAGTCCTAGTTGAGTACACTGTATGTGCAGACAGGTCTGCTCAAGGACCTTGTTAACAAATTGCAAGTGGTATTTTCTTGATGACTTCCATCCTCAGTTTCACTAAGGGGGAAAACTGCTTTGAATTCACCTGTGGTGCATATTTGTGTTTAAATGGGCTGCCCAGGGAGGTGGTGGATTCTCCGTCTCTGGAGGTTTTTAAGATGAGGCTGGACGTGGCACTTAGTGCCATGGTCTAGCAACTGTGGTGGTAGTGGATCAAGGGTTGGACTTGATGATCTCAGAGGTCCTTTCCAACCTGTCTGATTCTATGATTCTATGATTCTATGAAACCACAAGGCTACTGCAAACAGTTGCAAGGTAAACTAAGCACCAAGAGTCCCAGCAGAACACTGAATTGCTAGCAAGACACAATTTCACAAGCACATCAACAGGAGTTTTTAAACTGTTCTTGGTCTTGCCAACTTTGTCAAATGATTTGTTTTGGTTTAATATATCCTTTCTCAAAGACATAAGTTTTGTTTAACACTATCTGCCAGTTCATTAAACAAAATTACTGGAGATTTAAAAAGCCATTTGGAATGCATTTTGAAGAGAAACTTCCTATTAGCAGATACCATACAAAGCCAATAATTAGATTTCTTTTCAAGTTTAGACCCAAGAACATGGAAAACACTTTGTAATGTAAGAAAAATAACAGAACTTTAGATTCATTTATGACTAGTTAAATTCAAGTATAGTTTCAAAAAAAAAAAAAA